CGGGGAGGGGGACCGGTCTCCGCGGGCGGTAGCCGCGCAGAGCAGAAGCCGAGCCTGGCGCGAGTGCACAGAGCGAATCGTTGGGAACGCACAATGTGGAAATCTTTGTCTTAGTTAACACAACGATTGATCTGGAACGTTTCAACGCACCGATGTATATATGACTATAAGACTATTTTACGAATGATATTATGTTCCAACAGCTTGAGAATGCATCAATGCATCACGTATTAATCTAGTCAGTGTGTGTGTCATTCAACTTTTTTTTGTATGCACTGTGCAAATCGTTAGAATTACACGAAGTAAGAAATATTAGTGAGATAATACGCAGATTTCCAATGCACGGGAGGTATTTAATGTGCCTATTACAGCAATGAAATTTTTTCCCAACGGCTTCAGAAGGCATCAAATTACTAATCTTGCCAGTGTGCGTGTCATTTCTTTATATGAACTGAGCCAATTGTTGGGACTGAAGTAAGAAATCTTAGTCTGAGATAATACCACGATTTATCTGGAAAGTTACAGCGCACGAGTGGTATTAGTAAGACTATTTTACGAATGAAAATACGTCCCGACTGTATCAGAATGCATCATCAATCTTGTCATTGAGTGTTACAACAATAATTTCATTGCGCTGCGAGTTTGCAACTTCTTCAGTAGTCCTTCTGGGAACCCCAGCAGAATCTCTGAATATACATGTGAAAATTATCTTGACTATTTGATGTTCTGAAAAATTTAATTGAATGAATTTAATCGTGTAGACTGTTAAGTGCTATACAATACTAAAATGTTTATCAACGCACAGAAGCACGCGTTTAAGTTGTAAAGCCCAATTCAGAGCCTGTCCGTCCGACCACACACCTTTCGTTGCAGCCAATGTAGGGTTCCCCACGGATAGCTTTGTCATTGTCTCTGACTTCTTCTTCTTCTTCTTCTTCTTCTTCTTCTTCTTCTTCTTCTTCTTCTTCTCTTCCCACCTTGCTGCTCTCATCTTTATTAATGCTACTTATTTTCTGCCATTTTATCCTTTTTTCAAGCTGGCGTCTGAAATTCGTGTATATTTGTTTTCCCAGAAAATCTTCTCTTTCATCTAGGTATACATATTAGTTCTGTCTTCATCCAGTTTAACTAATACTTGGTAGCTGTTTTTCCTCGCGTCATTTCGGTTGTTCCCTACACTCTGTTAGAAATTCTGACAGAACATCTTTACATCGACTGAATTAAAAACATTATTATTTTCGGATCTTGAATTCAAATACCTAAAAATCCTTTACTTTACAAATTATTTTGTTACTTCGAAACGTAGAGACAGTTTGCAAATGTAGACATTTGGCAAACAAAAATTCTGGGTTAATCACTGAGATTGTGTGAAGAAGCTTTCCTTCACGTTATTGGACTTTGACTTTCGTGACACTGACTTTCTCTGATTCGTTTTAAAGAAACTTCGTCTTAAAGTTACTTCGATATATAATGATATCTTCATTGATATCTAATGAACATAAATAAGAATAAAACGTAAGTACTTTAATATTCTACTTCTGAAAGCAGAGACTGTTCACAAACAAAT